AGGACTCTAAGAAATGTTTGTTAGATGAGGGATTTTTTTAAATATTTTATTTATTATTTTTTATTTTATGCATATGTGTGTATTGCCTGCATGCAGATAAGTGAACCTGTGTCGTACAATGCCAGCGGAAGACAAAAGAGTCTGTCAGATCCCCTGGAACTGGAGATTCGGAGAGTTGTTAGCTGCCGTGTGGGCGCTGGGATTCGAACTCGGGTCTTCTGCAAGAACAGCCACTGTTCTTAACTGCTGAGCCATCTCTCCATCCCCTAGATGAGGTATTTTGAGGGCAAGAGATGTTGCAGTGCAAGTGAGGACCCAAACATGAAACCTGAATTTCCAATGCTTTGACTTCGTTGGTCTGTGTAAGATAGTACACTGAGCAGCTTTTGGATAATACCAAGAAGGAAAAGAATGGGAAGTTCAGAACCAGAGTATGGAGTAAGAGAATCCTGATGATTGAAACACAAGCCCTCCTTGGAGACAGCAATCACATAAGCACTGCCACAGTGGCCTCGGGTTTCATGAAGGAGCAAGAAGGAGTGAACGCCAAGATAGCAGGCAACGGGCCTGCCAGGAACACCAGCAATGCCATGGGTTTGGCATTTCCCAGGAAATTTTTTTCCCATAGAAATGCCTATTTAACTCCACACTAGAAATCAAGACTTGAACAGTTTTTATGTTATAATCACTTTACAAAAAAAATCTATTCCATTAGTGAGTGGACATCTGTATTTATATATGAAAGGGGTTGCTGGTCATGGTCATTTGACCTCCTAGGAAATTGCCTTGGGTTCATTCACCCAACAAATGTTTATGGAGCCAGGTATTGTTCTGGACACCTGGGATACTGCAGCAAGCAAAATCTAGTGACTCTCTACTCTATGGTAGAGAGAGGCTTTTGTAAAGTAGTGAGGAGAGCAGGGAGGAGGTTAGGAGGGTGGGGTGCATGGGAAGGTCTCACAAGGTGACTTTATGATCTCCCCCTTAGGGCATGCTTACACTGATAATCTATAGACTTAAAGGAGCTAAATGTGGGAGTCTTGTGGATCTGAGGGAGAGTTCCAGGCAGAAAGAACAAGAGCAAAGACCCTAGCGGTAGAGGGGTGGCAGGCATTCCATGGCTGTCTCAGAAGGGCCAGACTGGTATGGATGGAATATGTGAGGGCAAGAGAGTCAGAGCAAGGGTGAGAACAGATCAAGGCCTCTGCAGGTGTTGTGTGGGCTCTGGCCTGGGGGAGAAGGAAAATCCCTCATCCTTGAGAGAGAAGGGACCTGAACCAAGCATTTTTAATAAACTCTGGTGGCAATGCTACAGATGCTAGGATATATTTGCCAGGAAGCCATAAGAGGAAGATTAAGACAAATTTCCAAAACATTCCTATTATCCACCAACTCACCTTCACCATTTCTACTGAGGTTTTCAAAACTGAGTTGAGGTCACTTTGCAAACACAGGCTTTCTGTCACTTAAAATACACTACAGAGATGCCCGAGACAGCACAGGATGGAAAAGAGCTATCTTTCTACAATGTCAAGTTGTACAAGGATCTCAAGCTAACAGTTTCTGGACCATATGTAGAACTCAGTTGTAGTCCAGTCAGAAGATCTGTGGGTACAGTGGCCAAAGAAACATGGAGAAGAAATAAATGAAAGGTATAAGCCTAACTTGATTCCTAAAATTCAATCCTCATGAAAGAACCACATATTAGTCCCCACACTGAAGTGCGCCCTGAATGTCAAGACAGACACTAATTCTGATGCTTGCTGGCCCTGTCCAAGAGTCTAGGACACTCATGATATATATATCGTATCCCACTGGCTGCAGAAATCACAAAGATGTCCAGAAAGAAGCCAAATGTGGCACACTCCTGTAATTCCAGCACTAGGAAGGCTGAGGCAGGATGGCTTTGAGTTCAAAACCAGTCTGAACTATATAAAGAGAAAAACTTCACAAACCTATAAACTAAAACCATCAGGGGTGTCTGTCAGAGAAAACAAACATCGGGGTATCTATCTGAGAAAACGAAGAGGAAGAGCATTTCTATGGATGGAGGGGTTCAAAAGAAGATGAAGACGGTGCAAGGGGTTGGGTCCTAGCTGGCCTCAACCACTGTTTCAGGCTTTCTGGGCTGTGATCCTGATTAAATAAGATAATGTATGTATAATGCTCCATGGCACCTGATGACTCAAAAAGGCCAACTCCCTGCTCACACCCCTGAGCCACTCACTGTCAGTTTTAGGAAGGCAGGATTAAAAAACAAACACGCTTTAGACAAGCTGTATAATTTCCCATTTACTAAACACACATATACTAAAAAAAGAGCATCAAGATGAATGCAAGGCACAGTGTTGATAGTCACCATCTGTGAATAGTGGTATTATGGGTATTTTTGTTATTAACTGTATTTTTCCTTTTGCCTTTTCTACAATGAACATGGACTACTCACTCTTTTTTTTTTAAGGCATAGAAATAACTATTCCATTATAGAGAGGTTTCTAAGACAAATGGTTCTGTTTTCAGGAAGTTTCAGTAAAGCTGATGTTTCACTATGTAGACTACATACTCCTGGACACGACTGGAAGGAATTCCTGAACCACTGGTCAAACTGGCAACCAGTCTTGTGTTTTGGAATATATGGCCAGCATGTCACCCAAATGCTAAATAGTCTGGTTTGAGTATAGCCTGGGTTTTGAGAATCAGAATGTATCTTCTGCTTCTCTTTAACAAAATGTGCTAAGCCCTCTACTGCTCATTATAAACTGTGGAATCTGCCTAGCTACCTACTAACCTATGAATTTGTGTTCTATTCCTCTGGAGAACCTTGGCTATTACAGTTAGGGTAACTGAGCCCATTTGTTACCAAGGATCCAGTTCCAATAACAACAGTCAAAGAGCAATGGATCCCAATCCATGTTATTTTGTCATAAAAGGGGTCTAACTAGTTTACCTTTCATTCAACTCCATGCTGATCTTCGCTGTTAATTCACCTTCCATTTGTGTTGAAAGGCCTTAGGAATACAATGAGGCAACAAATAAGGGTAAACCTCTGATCATGGGGCCTCCCTTAGACCTCATTTCCCCCAGCACTGATTGCTGCTAGATAGACTCATGTTTTCCCGGGTGGAATTCCCAGGCAGTTTAACATAAATAAAACCCTGGGAAAGAGGCTCTGGGTAGGCAGCCACTGGGTGGGGAGGGAGGGAATTCAAGGCTCAGAGGAGAGCAGCACTTCCTGTGGTACCTCAGAGACCCTGGCACCTGACAGAAGTGCAATGTGACAAATATGCAAAGTGTTGTCTCTCACCATAGGAATTACCAAAGAAGCTAAAAACAGAAACATGCACTGCATAATCTCTAACCTCAGGGGACAAGGAAAACAGAGAATTGCTGTGTCAATCTCATTTCCTTGTTAGGCGCATTATCATAAGCGGGGCCACACTCTGCTGCCAGTTCCTCCTTTACTCTGGCTCTGGCTTCTGTAGTCCTGAATTCCACAGTAATTTTTTTTCTTTTGATCTTTACTGTTTTGCTCATTTATCCATAAACATGAGCTACTGAACCAATTTTAAATTAAATAGCTAAGGTTAAAGCCTGAGGCCATCCAGCTAGGACTAAACCAGTAGCCCAAAGAGGACCTCTATGTGGATATGAGTAGTTACAGATTTCAATCTGGACCTTTCAGATACCGCCATGTGAGATAATCTGCTAGTGGCTCATGGCTTCCTTCATTTATCTTGCTCCTCTGGTATAGGAAGGGCGGAAACTTATACAATATGTGTATTTCCCTGGGAGAGGATGGCAAAGGATTTCTATGTTAATTTTATAAATCCTCAGTTCTTGTCAAAACACTTTTACAGGATGCTTCTGTAAAGGAGAATTGTTAGAACCACCTGGCAAGCAGTACTTTGTATCACTTGCCTAATTTTAAAAGTAGCTCATTTAACCAGTTTTGGCAACTGAACTATTTTCTGAAATCCAGAATAGCAAAAACTTAGGAGCGAGACAGGGACAAAATGGGAGACTTCAGATCAAGTCACAGTGTAGGGTGCAGTGTCAATCATTTACTAGAACACTGTCAGCAAAGCAAAACGAGACTTGGGTGCATCTAGGCAGATCCTGGGTGGCCTCACCCCATCTTTTTGCCGCCCCTTGGGCAGGGAAAGGGGCAGTGGGCAAATGTGGGCTGCTTGACCCCATGCAGTAGATTGGGTTTGGAGTGATCATCCTGGTTCCATGATTGAGGAACATAGACCCAGAAGCATGCCTAATCCATCTAGGGTTATGCAACTCACCCAGGATCTGATATACAAAGGCAGAAGGGGAATTCAGGGCCAAGGACCTGGTTTCAAGGTCTGCACACTTGTGTGGCTGGTGGAGAAGCCAGGAGTACAACCTGACTGTCAGATGCCCTATGATATACATAGGACCTAATATGAGTCTATCAAATGAGGAGCAGAAGAGGAGGACGAGGAGAGGGAAGGGCTTCTTTACAAAGTATTGTCTGTGTCAGGTTCTGCCCAAGTTCCTGGGAACAATGCTGTCAAGAGAACACTAGAATCCCCTTTATACAGATGAGGAAACTAACTCACTAACACCAGGACACATACCAGGTGAGTGAAATGGCCAACATGACTCTGTCTGGCTCCTCTGCCTGGCTCCCAACCTCTTTGTAGTCCTTCTTCTCACACAAGTGAACAGCAGAGTGCTAAAAGCACAGTCCACAACCCCAGAATTCCACACTGTGCCACTAGACTTGAGCCTCCTAAGGGAAAACAAGACACCTGGGACATGCAGCAGCTTACAAGTTTCTGTGGGGAAAAAAAAATCTCTCTCTACTTTACTCTATAGAAAAACAAATCAATATTTGAAACTAGATCTGTGTTCTTGGAAATCCGGAACACCTACGCCAGCTTCAAGAGGTTGAAAAACACATGTCCTCATAAGTTCAAGGAATGGGCTCCCCGAGACGGGTCACACCCGTGGATCTGTCCTCACCTTCTGAATTCACGGATGACCTTCCTTGACAAGCCTAGACATTCCTAAGTGGGAGTAAAAACTGTGAAAATTAGGCTCTTTCATTAAAGGCAAAGGAACCTAGGGAAAGTTTTTGTTATGCATATTCCATAAAAGGCAAGCAAGGCCTGTGTGACAGAGCCAGTGTGTAGATGGCATCCAACCTGTCCACGCTGGTGTGGCTGTGAACAAACATGTCTGGATCGGTCCTCCAGAGCTTCACCACCTAGAAAGAGAGAGAACACAGCATGAGGTTATCTGAACTTGACATTCACTATGGTCTGCTTTCTCCTTTCATTTCCCCTTACAATTTCACAGAAGGTTTCCTACTTGATTTAGGGATCATTTTGATCCTCCAGAAATTATTTTTACTAAAGATTAATATAGGAGCTATTAGGTTCCTCACTCTCAAAGATGCAGGAGAGAGAGCACTTTTGTCTGATCTGCATCCCTTGATTAGGGAATCAGATCTCTCCACATAGAGTTCTAGGGGTGGCCTGGGCCCCTGCTTACCCAAGAAAGGGGCATTTCAGGCAATAATGACTGGTTCCAGGAAGGCATGGGGCAACTGTCTTTCCATTGTGGATCTTATGCTGGGATAATAACATCCAGTACCACTGAAAGCCATCTTCCCTGCAAATAGAGAGATGAACATTAGATGGACAGAGAAAAGATTCTGGAATCAGTGAGCCCATTTCTAATCCTGAAAATAAAATCCTTCTTCCTAGAAGATACTTAGCCAATAAATTTCCCTCTGGGCTAAAGCTAGTTTGATTTAGATTTCTGTCTCTTACAACCAAGAGTCATAATATAAAGGATGGAGAGTTTAGAGTGCTGCCTCATCCTCCCATGGAAGGTGCCTGCCATGCCAACTGTAGTTCCTCTCTCAGAAAGGACTGACCTTTTTTATATCCAAGAAACCTGTCACCTTGCTAGCCTCAGTCCTCTGTTTTGAATTGATTTATTTCTTTTTCATCTTGCTCCTAGCACAGATGTGAAGAAAATGTGATTCCTCTCTAACTGCAGTAACTTTGTCTTCTGGAATGTGTACTATGTATTCTCAAATGACAAAATGCTTAGGCATCCCAAATGCATTCCCATTTTCCTAGTGGTCACCTTGATGCCATGACATGTACAATGCTGTTACTTTAAGCAGCAGTTCTCAAGATAACTGCAGAGTCAGGAAAATTTGCTCACACCTGTAATCACAGCACTCAGGAGGCTGAGGCAAAGGGATAGCCATGAGTTTGAGGCTACCCTGGGCTATATGGTAAGTCCCAGGTCATCCAGACAGACTCTGTCTCAAAAAAAAGAAAGAAGGAAGGAAGAGAGGGAGAGATGGGAGGGAGGGAGGGAGGGAGGGAGAGAGAGAGAGGGAGAGGGAGAAGAAAGGAAAGGAAAGGAAAGGAAAGGAAAGGAAAGGAAAGGAAAGGAAAGGAAAGGAAAGGAAAGGAAAGGAAAGGAAAGGAAAGGAAAAAGGAAAGAAGCCACCTGAAGAATTTTCTGTTGCTGAGACAGGGTCTCATTCTGAGCCCAGGCTGGTCTCAAACTCACAGCAATCCTCCTGGCTTAGCTTCCCAATTGCTGGGATGACAGTTATGTGCTACCACACCTAGTTTGAAAAACAAAAACAAAAAACCACCAATGCCAAGCTCTCATCCCAGATTCTATTTAATCTAGAGAGGTGACCACTCATCAGTGGTTTCAAAATTCTCCCAGACAAGGTTAAGACTAGTTAACTAAAATTTTGTTTGCACATGTGTTCGGTGATTTTTTTGAGTGATATCACTAGTCTTTTGATGACAAGGCTGAAAAAAGCATGGATGTCCATCTTTTGCATTCCCTGGGATGTTCAGCAAAGCTCACAGTATGCTTCTAGATACATGATGGTATCTGTTTGTACCGGACACATACTTTGGCCTATGTTCTATGGCCTACTGAGAACCTACAGCTATGCCAAAGTATTGTGTGCCTTGAAGTCTTCTATTTTTATAGATTAAGTTATACAAGCTCTGAAAAACATTTAAAAATCAATACTTGACCCTTTGACACAATTTATTCTGCTTAATAAAGATGATGATGTAATCTAGATAGCCTATGGGACATGCACCAATTAGCCAGGGCTACAGTAAGAAGCCAAGTGACTTAAAAGAAACTTGGACACAAAGGTATACAAGGAGAATGCCACATGAAGGGTAACCAAGGAACCCCAGAGATTGCCAGCAAACCAACCAGCAGAAGGTAGGGAAGACAGCAGATTCTTTATAATTCTCACAAGAAATCAGTCTCCCTGTAGCCCCAGCTGGCCTGGAACTTGCTATGTAGACCAGGCTGGCCTCAAACTCACAGAGATCCTCCTATCTCTGCCTCCCAAGTCCTGGGACTAAAGGCATGGGCCACCATGCCTGGCTTGGATCTTGGACATTTTTAAGAAAATATGATATTTAATTTTGTCCACTTGACTGGACTGATAAATAACTAGGAGATTAATAAAATATACCTCTGGATATGCCTGTGGGTTTCCAGAGAATATTAGATCATAAGGGCTCAGACCCAGTGAATGGACTCATCCCTTAGTAGATTTTTGATACAATGGCATTAATTGAGAGATGGTGAAAAATGGGAGGTGAACTAGATGGAGGAAGGCAGTCAATGGGGAGGAGGGGGTTGGGGAGCTTATCTTGCCCTTGTGGCTTCCTGTATTCAGTCTCTGTTCCTTGTCCACCATGAAGCTAACAGCTCTCTTCCATCAAATACTCCACATGTTCCTGCAGCCATGGTGTCTTGCCAAAGCACATGGGACCAAGCAACCATGGACTGAACCCTCTGAAACCATGAATCAAAATAAGCCTTTCCTCCTTTTTCAAGTGTTTCTGTCATGTATATGTTCAGAATGAGGATAAAAGTAAGGAATGTAGATGAGGTCTTACTATGTTCTCTAGGCTGGCCTTGATTTCTGGGGCTCTAATGATCCTCCTGCCTAAGTCTCTTGGGTAGCTAGGATTATGGCACTCAACTTAGGTTTTAGACTTCTAACCTCCAGAACTCTAAAAAAACAGATTCTTGCTCAAGATATTCAGTTTGTGGTACTTTGTTATAGAAGCCTTAAGATGTTAAGATAGTCCCTGATAAAACAAAACAAAACAACAGGCATCCTATAATCATTCACTTTGAGACCAGGATGGTATAGAGAAAAGAAACATCCAGAAACTTGAGCAACCCAAAATAGTAGTCATTTTTTTATCATTATTTTTTAAAAAATTTTTAATAACTACATGATTAGAAGAGCATTTCATTACAGCTTTAAAATATTCAGTAACACACTCCAGAGCAAGAGTACATCTCTTTCACAAGTGGCTGTAAGTTTCTAGGTTCACAGTTGAATTGACAGTTATACAATATTGAACTCAGTATAAGCCCTGTAAGACAAAAAATTGAATGAGATTTTAACCCTCAAAAAAGATCTCCATTTCATTTTAGAATATATTATTCCTTGCAGAAAGACTCATTGTTTTTGCTACTAGCACTGAGATGTTGGCGCATGCATCTCTAATCTGTATGTATCTGATTATTACTAGTCATAATTGGTTGCATTTGGATCCTTGGTGCCTGTGTATGTCTATAAAGTCATCGGGCAGATTTCAGTGGTAATGTTTATCACCTCTACTAAATAACATGATGTAACTTCCCATGCTTCCTTCTCAAATAATTTGTTGATTTTTTTTTCCTGCCTGTGTATATCACACAGAACATCCCAAACCATTTTATTCAACTATACACCCACTTCCCAAATAGCACCCTCCCAAAGCCTCCTTCCCCTCCACTAGAGCCCTTATACTCTGATATCCTTGCTACTGTCTGCTATGATGTCGGCACCCCCAGCCACACCCCACTACTTGTCCATCTGGTGAATCTAGTCAGCCTATCTAGAGGGCTTTGTTTTAGGAAGCTCAGCTGTTCCTCATCTAGCAGCAATCAGTTGTCAATATTCCTTTAGATAAGACTAGGGTCTGCTGTTCATTTTCCCAGTTCTATGCTGGGTTACTATCTGGGGGTCCCTTTGGCCACCATGGTCAACAACTCAAAAGAAGGTATCTCCTATCTGGCATTCTTGCTTGTTATGTAGTCTTCAGCTATACATATGGACTCTTAAAAAATTATATTGCCCCCTTTAATCTTGGTTATACTTTCCTTTTGGGTGTTTAAGGCCATACAGTTGGCCCAGATAAACCAATTTATGTTTACTCTTAAGGTCGTTTGAGAATCTGTTTCTCAGCCCATGTGGGCTTAGAAGGAGTCCATGGCTCCTTTCCTCTACGGGATCCCTCTATGTAAAGATAAGTCTAAGGTCCTGCTCAACCGTGGTTGGTATTGCTTGGAAGCATGGAGGAAATGATTCCTCTGTGTTGACCCTCCTCTTTGTAGACTGGACACTAGTTCAAGTCCATCCCGTGGGGTCTCCTCAGCCTCCTTGATCAAGAGGACAGGTGACCCATCACAACTCCAGGACATTTTGAGAGATGCTCATAGTCCCCTGGAACTAGTTGACCTAGGAAGGCAAGGAGCAAAAAGTATCCTTTATGTCCCTCTGACCAAATTATTATAGGCCTCAAAGTTACACCAGTCTGGTACTTTTAATTACTGTGTCTCATGTAGATAAATCTTGGGCAAAGACCAATTGTTCTCAGATAAACCTTACCTAGACATATATTTCTTAATCTGCTATGTATAATTTGTCAGTAGGTTGCAGGATTAATAAGGTTCCCTCTGGTTTTCAAAACTAGCTAGGCATTGTTTATCTCTTGCCTTGTCTCACCCCTCCATCATGGTTTTCCCATTTAAGGTGCCCTCATTTCCGTTTCTCCCTTAATAATACCCTTCTCCTATGGTCCTACCTCTCTTGACCTCCTTCTTTCCCTTTATCCCCTAGGTTCCTTGTATACCCTTCCCTCACCCCTCCCTTAAACTAACCCAATTTTTATCCATATCTCTCTTATTAAGGCCTGTTTCCTACTGTTCTTCTCTTTCAGGTTCTTTCTTTTCCTTTACCTCCCTGTTTCCTTTCCATTATCCTGGTTCCTGTAGTTATGTCTAGATACATACTCACTTATCAGGGTTTGGTTCTAGGATCCACATATGAGGGAGAACATATGTCGATTTTTTTTCTGAGTCTGTTATTTCACTTAGTATAACAGTTTCTAGTTCCATTCATTTACCTGCAAATTTCATGATTTCATCTTTCTTTACTGCTGAGTAAAACTCCAACGTATAAATGAATCACATTTTCATTATATACTCATCAATTGAGGGACACTTAGGTTGCTTTCATTTCTTAGCTATTGTGAAAAGAGCAGCAACAAACATGGATGTACAAGTGTCTCTGCGATAGGATAAGATCTTTGGGTATATGCCAAGGAGTGGTATAACTGAGTCAAATGGTTATTGTTTAATTCAGATGTCCCTCTGTTAACTCTCTGTCCTGTTGACCTATCTAATGGAGACAGTGGGGTACTGAAGTCCCCTACTATTAATGAGTTGGGATTAATCTTGGTCTTAAAGTCCTGTAGTATTGTTTTTATGAAGTTGGGTGCACCACAGTTTGGTGA